AGAATTCAATTAATCAGTTAATCAGTAACTACTGTAATTATTAAGTCACTGTTACTGTTAATTAATTAGTGACTGAATATTTACATACTAACCATAGGTGTTTTTTAAAAATATCTCTACCAAACCATAGGCCCAGCATGACAACAACTATATAATGCAATAACCTTTGTCCATTCAGGCAAATTATTGATTGGGTTGGTATATATGACAACAAAGAAAAAATGAAGAACATTTACAAGTGATGAAAATTTATTAAGGCTTCAAAACATACGAGATTCTAAATTTTCAAGCACAAACAACGGGGAGAAGCAGCTCCCTCAGCCATTTGATAAACAATATCAAAACTGTCAAATACCAAGAAAACAATGTGAGGAGACTATAAGCTAAACAAAACCTTCAATATTTTATGCTGTCTTGATGCAATGCCAAAATCTCAGAACTAACAATAAAGGTAACCATGACAATTCGTAAGGAGAATTGCAAAGAACCCAAGATGTCAAAGACAAACTTGACAAATCGCTGGTACCTTTTTCCCAACAAAAAATCCATGGCCTCCCTCGTTGGCCTGTAATACTTTTTCAAAATTCTTCAGAGCACTAGGGAGGTCTGACTCTTGAAACTCCTTTGTGAGTTTTTCCTGTGACAGAAATTTAAAACTAATTAAATCAATGAACTCAAAACAGGATAGCTGGGGCTGGGGGTCTTAGACTGTCCATCAGTGTGCAACAACCATAGACCATACAACTGAGGTTGGTGGACTAGAGTCTGGTCCAGGGCCGGTGAGAGGGGGCGGGGGGAATAGAATTATCCCTAGTCGATTCATGCTAAATAGAAACCAGAGATAAGCACCAGCCTTATGGGTAACTTGGCTCATATGCAGACTTTACTTTCCCTTACCTGATATATTTATTTAAAGGAGCTATGTCATGGTTTGCACATCTTGAAAAGTTTAGTCTAAATTTTTCAGGTTTATCCTTTNTACAACTCGATAGAAACACAGAGAACATGTTTTCTATTTCTTTTACAAAACACTGTGATGAAAGCAAGGAAAACAACTTGTCAACTTTGATCAGCAAAATGTAAATTCTCTTTGCTCACGCCATCATTTCGTCAACAGCTCATCCTAGTTCTGTGTCTCTATTGAGTTACATAAACATGATTTTTAACCAATCAGCGCACATATTTTCTTAGGACTGTTTTCTAATTAGATATACAGGGCCAAGCAATATTGTTCAGTCAACAATTTTGGTCAGCCACCGACTGTATGGCTAACTAGTGTTTTTAAAAGTAACAACTACTGCAGACATATGTGTACAAATCATGTACGTTTGTAATATTATTCCTTTCTACACTGCAGCTTGGACCCAAGACCTACTGCAGATGAACTGTAAAAATACCCTGAAAATGTTGATTAGTTTCATTATTCCTGAATTGGTTAGAATGCATTCTTGTTCAAGAATAATATCACACAGTCACTCCTGTTTGCTCAAATATGGCACTACAGAAAAGGATAAGACTGAAGAACTTTCATTTATTAACTTGAAGAACAAAGTACTTGCATAAATTATTGAATACATACCAAATTCATTTGCCAGGTACCGCAAAATGGCAACAGACTGGCACAGAACAATTGGCTCAGAACTGGCAGCATCTTTTATTTCCAATACTGGCAATTGACCAAATGGGCTCTTACCAGCTAAAATACAAAATGCAAATTTATTATTACATAAATGAAATTGTAAAAAAAGCAGTTAAGTAAACTTATGGAAAAATTACAAAAAACTGAAGGGGCGTATGGAAAAAGACCTTATGTGACATCTGATAAACTACAAGATTCTCCTTGCAACCTTGAACAAAAAAGGAGAATTTGACATGAGATCATGAAGAGCTGCTTAGCTGGGAATAGCTTTTTTCCCACAAACTCCTACAATTCAGAGATAAATGAAATAAATGAGGCAAATATAAATAAAGTGCACTACATGAA